CAACCCAGCTACCGATCTGCCTACGCAGGTGGGGTCCACAGTAGCCAGGGGGATGGGGGTAGGAAGCAGCACAGGGCGGGGCTCGGTGCATTTTGGGGAGAGCTCCCCACCGAGCCAGTGGTGGGAACTGCCCACCACTGATAGGGCCCTGGGCTGGGGCCTGGAGGAGAGGGAGTGCCTGGGCCCCCCTACCTACCTCCTCTTTGTAGCTCCCAGCCTCGGAGATGAGCAAGTCACTAGGCCTCCGGGCCTGCGGGACAATGACTGGGCCCCTGGGCCTGCAGAACAGGGCCCGGGCCCTCAGGCTTGCCGGGTCATAGACACATCTGGAGTAAGGCAACCCAGGACAACTGGTGGAGAACATGGACACTGAGTGTCCCTCCCCCCCTCTCCCGACCCCTGACTGACAAAGGGGATAATACTATATATGGATAGCGAGGCAGAGGGTTCCGGCTAATTTTTTTTCTTCTCCGCGATTGTTCACACGTGTGGCCTTCGCCCTCTTCCTGTGCGTCCCCATAGAGGGCCAGTCCCCCACAAGAGAGAGCGCAGGGACCTAAGGAGATGTTAGGCCCGGGGCGGAAGCAATACCCCTTGGGGGGCCTGACCCCGGGAGGTGGCACGGAGGATACGGGAACAATGTTGGTGATGGCTAGACCCAGAGAAGAAGACGGGGTCAGGTGGGGGGGAGGGCAGGCCATTGGAGAAATAGGGCCAATCCTGGCCTAACACCATTGGGTATGCCAACCTTGGGGCCACCACCACAGTACACTGCTCTTTGTGAGGTCCTATAGCTGCTGCCCCGCCAATGCCATTTGTTCCTAACTTTTCAACCATAGCTACCCCCTTGACGGATCTGACCAAAAACCAACATCCCCGGCGGGTGGAATGGGCAACGGAGTGAGAAAGCTGGTCTCGTAAAAAATGCCCTAACCCAGGGACCGGTACTGGTCTAGCCGGATTTTTCCAAGCCATTCATCCTACAGATGGACGCCTCCGAGGTAGGCCTCAGCGTCAAGTTATCTCAAGAGGTAGAGGGTACGGAACACACTATTCTATACCTTAGCCGAAAGTTGCATCCCCGAGAGACCAAGTATTCCACCAAAGAGGCGGCAGCGCTGGTGGTGAAATGGGCTGTTGAGGCCTTTAGATATTATTTGCTGGGCACCTCCTTCTCATTAGTGATGGATCATGCCCCACTATGGTGGCTGCAAACTATACAAGACACCAACGCCCGAACTATACGTGGTATTTGTCGCTACAGCCGTATTCGTTTCAGGCCAGGGAAAGCCCACGCAAATGCGGATTTCTTTTCCCGAATAGATCTTGAGAAGGGTGATGAGAAGCCCACCAAGGGGACCCTTTTAAGGGGTGTGACAGGGCACACCAAGCCCGCACTGAACAAGGGGAAGTAGAGCATGCCTATGTGGTGGAATACACCCCTCCCCTGCGACCCTGCTGGGCATGCTCCCAGTGCAGCCCAGGTGTAAAAGCTCGCAGTGCAGCTCAGTTGGGGCTGTCCTCGGGAGAGGAAGGAGCTCCAGCCTGAGCACCAGAGCCGCAGCTGCTGCCCCCAGAGCTGCCGAACCAGCCGACCCTGCCCTCGGGCTGATCTCTACCACCTTGCTAGCCATGACTCGCAGCTCACCTAACCACCATCACTGCACGTGCTGTTGCCGCCTGACCAGCCAATGATGCGGGATCTGCACATGCTGGTGGGGTCCACGATAGCCAGGGGGATGGGATAGGAAGCAGCACAGGGCGGGGCACGGGGAGTGACCTGGTGGGCACGGCGCATTTCAGGGAGAGCTCCCCACTGAGCCAGTGGTGGGAACTGCTCACCACTGAGAGGGCCCTGGGCTGGGGCCCGGAGGAGAGGGAGGGCCCAGGCTCCCCTACCCTCTCCTTTTCTTTGTAGCTCCCAGCCTCGGAGCTGAGCAACCGTCACTAGGCCTCTGGGCCTGCGGGACAGTGATTGGGCCTCTGGGCCTGCAGAACAGGGCCCAGGCCCCTGGGTCAGAGAGTCCTGGAGTAAAGCAACCTGGGACACAGCTATTGAAAAGCTATAACAATAAAGTGATACTGAAGCCGTATAATCAATTTATTCACGGTTACCAATAATTGAAGGAATTTCAAAGTAAGGGTCTTTTTTAGGGTTAACAGCAGAGATGCTAAAACACACACAAGGGACATTTAGGCATAGAAAAAATGTAAACAGGACAAAAGGTTATGTTTTGGCCACCAATGAACCAAAACATAGAGCATTATATAAAAGAATGTGACTCATGTAAAAAGATATAGAAGTGCTTAGTCTAGAAAACCTGATTTTAGAAAACTCAAGCTCTTGCTCTAAAGTAGGTTTACATCTATTTAAATATAAAAGACACATCTGTTACGGTTCTTGATTATTTCACTTACTAGAAAACATGCCAAACAAACCATTAATAAAATGAAATCAATTTTTGCAAGGCATGGCATACCCCATCCAGTAATAACTGATAATGGACCTTAGTTTCAGATTCAAAAGTTTAAAAGCATTGCCATAGCATGATTTCAAAGTAGGGATGTTAAGGATTAGTCAACTATCTGATAAGCAAATGCTTATTGGATAGTCGACAGGATAGTCAACCAGTTGCTTCCACCCCCTTTGCTACCTCTATCTGGCAGCAGGGGCCAGCCCCCTCTCGGGACTCACCAGGGGCAGGGAAAGTGGAGTAACCTGGCCCTGGCCTGCACTGCTCTGCTGGCTCCCAGTTGAGTCACTCAGAGGAAAGGCCTTGGGGGAAGGGTTGGAACTATTCCCTCACTCACCAGCTTCAGGGGGAAGCAGAGTGACATGGCTGGGAGCCGCACTCTGCTTCCCTCTGCCAGGGAGTGTGGGGGTCCAACCCCTGTTGCTAGTGCCAAACTCTGCCTGCCAATCCCCCAGGCCACACTGCTCATGGAAAGGGAGGCATGAGGATGGGAAGGAGGTGTAGCAGGGCAGGAACAGGTGGGGTGGTGCCTGGGGCAGATGGGAGGTTGTCCCAGGCCTCATACACTCCCCATGGGATGGCCCTACTAACAAATACTGATTTATATTTGGGATTACATTATAGACCATCACCATTATAAAGATTTATCACCTGCATATTTGTTATTTAACAGAAACATTACCTATGCTTGTTTAAAGAAAAGAATGAGTGTAATCAAACTGTATCAAAACATTTATTATGATACAAGAGCGCATAAACCTCCTTATTACAAATTGAATGACAAGTGTATATCTATATTGGTGGATGCTGGGCTCAGAAAACTGCCATAACAAAAGAGGTAGCACCTCAATTTTATGGTATGACTAATAATGGTCAAGTGTATGGACCAATTCAGACATTTGCTATTGTTACCTATGTTCCAGTGGTGTAGCCCAAAGGGGACACTGGGGTGGCCCCCGACTTCAGATGGATGGACAATGATGGGGGTGGGGGTGCAGGGGAGATTGGGCTACCTCCCACCAACCAGCCTTGGAGAGGATGGGATGGACATGCTGGTCAGGTGACACCGAGTCCCAGGGACATACCTGAAGAGTGGGATAGGGGAAGGGGGGTTATCCTGCTCCACCAGGCACTCCTGCAGGGAAGCTGGGTCTGGAAGCCTGCCTCACTGCACCAGCTACTGCTGAGGAACACAGAATTGGGAGACTTGTCTCACTCCTCCCCCAGACACTCCTGCCTGATGGGGGGCGTCCCTGGAGCAGAATTGGGGGCTTATAAGCCCCATATACCAATGGCGCTCTCCTGAAAGCATGCTGGGCAGGAGGAGCAGGACAAGTCCCTGATCGGGTTCCATTGCTGGAGCACCAGAAGAGTGGGGCGAGCCCCGTGCCTTGACCCCAAACCTTGGCAGAAGCACCAGACTGGCTGAGCAGAGCAGGCAGTAAGGCGGGAGCAAAGCAGAGATGGGGATAGGTGGGTCTGGACAATAAGTGGGTGAGCTATGGGCCACTCAGGCCCACCCATGGCTACACCACTGCTACACACCAGACTCAGCTGAAGGAAGAAATGATGTAGTGCAGCAGCAACAAGAGCAGCAAGAAAACAACATCACTTCTCGTAATCAGAACAACCTCAAGAATGCAGCAAATGCAGAATTTAGAAGGCCAGTGTCAAAGGCCTGTTCAGACAATTCTGAACAAACTAAAAGACAGATGTGGTGTTACTGTGGATTTAGGAGCCTGAATAGGATTTTCAGGATGTGGGAGCTGACTGCAGGAGAGGACTGCTGGTCTTAGGTTAGACTGATGGATTGGCCTGAATTCAGATGCTCTGTATATACATGACCTAGGTCTCTAATAAAAAGCCTGTTAAGCTACTAGCAACAAATGAGTATTAAGACTAGTGGATTACTTGAATCCCAACTCTCCCACACCACTCTCTCCTGTAGCAGCAATGTCATTTATCACGGAGGCCTTGAGGCCCAGGTAATGCCTTTCACAACTCTTTGCGACAGACACACAAGCCATCTGGAAAGGGTTTAAAGTGCACACTTTTATTTTCTATTACAAAGGCTAAAAGAAGCAAGTTTGTTTTAATAACAAAAACAAAATTGTTAAAACATCTACATTATTATCTTGGTACTAGACCTTATGAAAGGTACTAAGGTTTTCTTTAATAGTAAAGCGTGGTATTCTTAAATTATATTAATACAAAGACATTTTAAAGGACTCAAGCTCATTACTATCCAGCTTAGAACTGCAGCAGCTCCTTTCTATTTTTCCCATTCATATGCTAAGAGCATATCCATTTCTGACACAGTGTTGATATGAGCTAATATTTTGTCTTCAAACATCTGGTTACCTCTGACACCAGCGTCACCAATCTCTCCCCTCATTTAGAGGGCTGGCAGAAGGATTTATATTACATCCCTCGGCATTTAACAAACTGAATTAAATCAAAGCCTGATGTGTGTTGGTGGAATTTTTATTTTAAATAAAAAAAAAGGACAAAATATTTTCGTAACATTTAAAAAAATTGGTAATGCTGCTCATTAGCCCTCAGATTTATTTCCTTGCTACAAATTCTCTCTTTAGCCCCCACAATGCATAGGCTAGATTGTTGTTGTAGTTGGTCAGAGTGCTGGGCTGAGCATACTGGTTTGTTGCAGGGTTGCTTTCAAACACTGGAACTTATGAATTAATTATCGTAGAGCTGCTAGTGCTGAATTTTTTGGTGAGATGAAATCTCACACTTAAAAAGTAAGCAAAATAAAATGAGGGGTCAAATCTGGCATCTCCTGCCCTTGACATACATATAAGCAAAGCTTTTAATGGTAACTTTACTCATTAACTAAGCACCTGAATACTCTTTCGTTGGGGTGGGGTAGGAAGGACATCACCGGAGGGTTTTCAGAGGCGTGATCAGGAAACCTATCTCAGCTTGAACTTTGTATCTGTCTATAAACTCCTCCTTTTCGCCACCCCAGAAAAAAACCAACCTTCATGTTAAAATAGGAGATGCTGCATTTCCTGGAGAGAGTCCTTTTCCTTTACTCTCATTAAAGAAGATTCCTTTGATACCACACACATATATAATATTATATAGAGCGATATATTTAATACCTGTGTATATATGCTTCACAGGGGTCACATATATACACACTAAAACAAGTCTGTGACAAAATACTGCAACACCACAGATCAGGTTATCATATCTGGGAAAACAAAAATAGATATGCCATGCCCTTGAGCATCCCCACCCCTCTTTGCCCAATTGCCCCTCCCCTCAGGTAACACTATATGTCTGGAGAAAAGTGGGCACAGAGCAGTCATTTTGATTAAAGAGAAGGGGGGACATCAGCCCCTCCGTAATCTCAACAAATTATCAACTCCCGAGTCACAGCGTAGCAAACGCAACAATTACATTGTAAATGCAGATTTGTTTTTCAAATAAAAAACAAGCATTTCTCCCCCCAAAATTCATTTTCCCTCTCTTCTCCCCTGCACATGTGCTTGCCACCACTCCAAGAAACATGTGCTAATATAACTTTTTTTGGGATAAATTCTGCAGAGGGAGTGACAGGCTGAAGGCGTGCTGATAAAGCAGGGATTAGACAGTTTCAAAAAGGGGGGCATGACGGGAAGGCCAGATTAGCTCATTTAGCAGCAGCTGCATTCCTGTAATTTTGCTTAATCCAGTGTTACAGCAATTCTATATATTATGACTATATGTGGCAAAATAGAAGACCGGCATCTCTCTCCCTTGCCTTCCAGCCTTTACAATTTCAGTGCTTGAAACAATGAAATGTATATACCAGGGAATGAGGTGCCCGGTTTACAATATGAACAGAAATCAGGCCCCACCCCTGATTGGTGGAAACAAACAGAGCATTGTCCAGCTCAAAAAACATGAGCATCTAATAAAACATGGGGATGCCGGGGAATGGAGGGGGGGGGGAATCAGTGGAGTTGGATCTTTCCAACTGCTTTGTCATCTCCCTGGGGTGTGCAGGGATGAGAGAAAAAACATCATCCCTACTCCCACCTCTCTGTCCAAAGCCTGAATATGCATTCACTGCTTGTAACTCCTAGAGCCACTTCCAGGCCAGGAGTGCCAAGAGTTGTACAGACATGAATAAATGAAGCCTCATGTCACTATTACTGCAATTTCACATAAGGGAAAACTGAAGCATGGAGGGGTTAGAGGCTTGTCCAGGGGACCCAGTAACTTAACAGCAGTTATTGGGAAGACCAGACCATAGATTAACTCATTCATCCTCTCAGGCTCTAACCAACATGCAGGAGCTGAGCCAGCTACCTGTGAGCTGTGTGTGTCCAGAGTTGTGTCTGTAAATAAAAGTGCCAGCTGCCAATTCAGTATCTCCTACATGTTGCTCCCTACCTCATTTTTCTTATCTAGGAACACAGCTATTATCAGAGGCAGGGTAAAGAAAATGGGGCCCAACAATGCCGAACCATCAAGCAAAATACAGCCAGGTTTTATTTGTTATACATACAGCACTGGAGTGCTCTGACTTCTCACAGGCCAAATATTCTCATGAGACCCTATTAAAAATACTCAACGCACATTGCTCCAGAGGCGGGATTGTCTGTTCCTGAGCCGATGGTGCTGTGCCAAACTATGCATGCACCTGCAGACTGTATTGGACTGTAATAAGGATGAGGGGTAGGGAGGGCTCAGGACAAAGCAGGCAGGTGCCAGCACACCCATTCCCCAATTACTGATGGACTAGGAGGCACAAGCTGACTCCCAGAGAAACTCTGGTGTGTTGGCCTAAGCTCATTATTGCATTATAAATACGGAGATCCTGACTCAGTGGAATTATATATGAGACTCTGCACCCCAACTCAGCCAATCAGGTTCCTCCATTTGAGCTGGCCTGGCCTGTTTTAAACACAATTTATATCATTCCAGTATTGGAAATATAAAATCTGGTGAGATGTCCATGCTCAAATTAACCAGGCAAGAGAGCAGGTGGTACAGCAGAGGCACTACAGACAGTCTGTCATGTTAACTTATCCCTGCATCAATCCCGCTGCACTCAAACAATGGGAAGGGGCGTCATCCTGCCAACTTGCCTACAGATGGCACGTGTTGGGCCACATCACAGATCTTCCCGCTGGAGCCAGACATGCCACACGCACTAATGGATCCCTTCAGCTGGGCTCAATGGAGAGCAGTACTAGCTCTCACAGGCACAACATTTAGCTGGGCTGCTTCATTTGGCGATACAGACGATACAGTCTGAGGGCAGGTCTGCACTGGGAACATACAGCAGAATCGCTAGAACTCTCGAGGTGTGAAAATTCCACATCGCTGAGAAATGCCGCTCTGCAGACCTAACCCTGGTGCAGACAGTGCTCGGGCGACAGAAGAATTCTCCCACTGTCCCACTTCTCACTTCTGGGGAGGTGAACTACTGACAATGATGGGAGAACCTCTCCTGTCAGCATAGGTAGTGTCTACACTGAAGTAACGCAGCAGCATTTTCAGTGTAGACATACCATGAGTGTCAACCCTAGGTCACCCTAGAGCTGACCTAATTCAAAATGCAAGTCATTACAACGCCAGAAGCAGACCCAACAGCTGTTCCCTCTTTTGCGCCACATGGTGCAGCGATTCTATCAAAGGCTCCTGTATCACCTGGATACCTGAATGTTCCCATGGAAAAGAGGCACTTCTCTATTCTTCCTGCAGGCAGAGGCCAGCTTGCTAGAAAATGACTACTCATAGCACTGGCAGTCTGGCAAGGGGAGGGAGGCATAAAAGATTAGAAACCAGTTTAAACCCAATGTTCATAATGATTACAAAAAAACCTCACAAATTTCCCTCCGTTGAACACTCCCCACCCAAAAAAAGCAAGGTGTCACGTTTTGGGGACATGGGAGCTGGAAGGTTTTGTGTTTATATTTACCCAGAGGGACCCTCATATTACTAATATGATCTTCCTCTTCTCTTCGAGAAAGTTGCTGAGACATCTTGTCCTCTGTCTGAGAAGGGATACAGGAAGAGTTAATTTCTTTTTTGGGGGGCAGGAGAGGAGAAGAGGGCAGACTGAGAGGGGGGACACACAGTCAAAGTAAAATCACATTCTATGAACAAGCAAACATTCTTGCATTAATAACTGGCTTCAGTTTAATAAAAATAAAAGAACTCTTAAAATTGGTCTCGTCAGCATGCTATTGGTTTGGTTTTTGCACTTCACTTAGCTTCAAACTACCCTAGTCAGTTTTGTCTTCCGTTATTAGTTAGCTTTTTTCCAGTTTCCATGCACTAGCTGAATACTATCGAGTTTGGTTTTGCAACTCTGCAAGAGAAGGCTTCAATCCCCTCCAGCAACCAGACTATACCCATTATTTTTATTTCAATCGAAATAATTTCCAAATGCATTCTTTGTCAAACACAAACTCTGAATTTTGAGCTTACGCTACTTGATAGTGTTCCTTTAATTGATTTATGCCCACTTCCTCTGACAGTGCAAAACCCATATCCAAGTAACCATGAATACAGACTATTTAAAAAGGTAATCCCCCAGGCAGAAGCTGACTGACCTTCTACCACTGACAAAAATACAAGCTCCTTTCCTGGTACCTCCTTTTTTCTGATTGATCCCAAGGCCCAGAACACACAGATGACAACAGCATCATAGTATTAGCTATACTCTATGGACAAATTCAGTCTTAGTTACATAATCACACCAATTTTTAAAAAATCTGCACTCTCATCTGTCCATGAAAAAGGCATCAATTGATCCACAATTAGTTTGCTTTTTGGATACAATCAATAGTAACAGCAAAAAAGTAATTTATGCTCACTTTCAAGCTACCCCATCTGTAAAAAGCACCCTGATTGTTTTCTCAGCTATGTTCATTGAATCCATGTAGGCCGGGGGCTAGAAAACGGTTATCCTCAGGGGAAGATTTGGGGTGTAATTTTGCTCCTTTGCTGTCATCCACATTAGCTAAAAGGCCAGGAGCTTTAAAACCAAAGCTTTAAAATCACATGGAGTTAAATGCTTTCCTCACCTGCTACGATGCTTCTTTATATTGTTTTTCCAGGACAGTGTGCAAGAGAAGGGGAATCTGCTCCGTAATGCTGAGGAGAATGAGGTCAAGGACTGCAGACATCTAGCCCCAATAACCCTTTCCCCCTCTCTTGGTGCCCCCTCAGCTGCATTTGTGATACTGCGATGTCCCAAAATACCTCGAGGCAGGGGATGAAAAAGAAAAGATTCTCTCTCTCCCCTGCCCGACTGTGTTCATTCCTTTCAATTAAAAAAAAAAAATGGAGGGAAGAGAACAAGAAAAGAAAGGAGAAAATAGAAAACAAACTTCATGAGCATGGCATTCGCTGCCCAGAGAAGAACTGGGTTACAATTTCATTCACCATCAGAAAATCATATTGGTAATCTTGAAACAAAAGAAAAAAAATTCTCCTTGTGAGACCAGTATCTCAGTCTCCTTGCCCCAGCCTCACCCTTTGAAAACTTGCCTCTGTTTCTCCAGTCAACAGGTTCCCCCTCTCCCTCTATACACCGTCTCGCAATAGGAAGTTGTATTTGCCAAAGTCATCATCCTTGGGGCACAGCAGCATGTCCTTGCGAGCTTTGGCCAGTTTCTGCTTCAGCACCTCCCGCCGGTCCAGCCACTCGGTCAGCTCGTCCTGGCCATGCGCATAGCGACACTTCTCCCCCTCAGGGCAGGCTTTGGTCTTCTGGAGCCTGCCAGGAGAACAACACTACTCACTGGATGATTTTTTTAAAGGGGCAGGGCTTAAAGCAGTGTTTTTTAAACTGTGTTTCGTGGGACACCGGTGCGCGTGAGGCAGTCGGAGGTGTGCCACAGAGAACAACAGAATTCAAAATGACCACCCTTAAAGGGGCAGGTGACCTTTTTTCCTCAATAACTTCCCCCCCAAAACACCTTTTTTTCTTTTGCTCATCAAAAAAATCCTTGGTGTTCCTCATTAAAAAAAAAATTGTTTGGTGTTCCTCGGTCTTAAAAAGTTTAAGGAACACTGCTTTAAAGGGTTGCTCCATTTCTCTAGCATTTACATTGTGCTGGATTCTACAATACCTTACAAATTCTCCTTCTGTACAGGGATCATTTTCCGACTACAGAAGCATAGCCACCACCGGGGTGAAGATAGAAGGTTGTTTAACAGGGTATAGCAACAACAGATTTGGCCAAGAAGTAATGTACCCATATCCAGCTGAGACTAAATGGGGATTTAGGGATGCAGAATGCAGTGACAAGAACTGGGCTAACACTTAGGATGGGACATCCCTACTCTTGAAAAAAAAATTCCATGGGATCTTTAAACAGACAGAGTGAGCAGGACCTCAGTTTTCTATTTCACTGCCAGCAACACAGTGTCTTCTAACATCATCTTGAGGCATGGGGGAGAAGGGGGGGGAGGGCGGAAGGAGAGAGAGGCCCTCTAGCGAGACACTAAACCCACATACTGAAGCAGCTGGCTTTCCCAAAGAGGTGTGTCAGCCAAGCAATGACCCAGTCTGTCTCCGCTTAGCTTGTGAGATCTGCTGTCACCAGTCATGGGTGACAAGGCTGTGGGTTAAAGAGCTCTTTCATTTCCCAAGCTATAAATAGACTCCGTGAGCCTGGAGAAACATCACTCATGCCTCTGAGTTTTGTAGTTTGCTCCTTTTAGGTGGTAGGGGGGGAGGGAGGGATGCAAGCTTCATTCTGCAGCTTTATCGCCTCCCCTGAATTGCTGTCCCTTGGGGCTCCCCTAGAGGAGCGGAGTGACTTGGTAGCAGGCCTGCTTTCCTTTCACCGGCAGCAGCCCCTGTGTACAATGGAGGGGTGGGAAGCAGTACCTTTCACAGAGCCGGAACTCGCCCATGGGGAAGCGGTAGTTCCAACAGCTAGAGTCGTTGTCGGAGGTGAAGACCTTCTCCTTATGCTTCTCTGACTGGATGTGCTGCTGCCATTGCTTCTTGCTGTTACTGTTCTTCCCACAGAGCCAGCAGTGATATTGCTGTCCCTTGGGGCTCCCCTAGAGGAGCGGAGTGACTTGGTAGCAGGCCTGCTTTCCTTTCACCGGCAGCAGCCCCTGTGTACAATGGAGGGGTGGGAAGCAGTACCTTTCACAGAGCCGGAACTCGCCCATGGGGAAGCGGTAGTTCCAACAGCTAGAGTCGTTGTCGGAGGTGAAGACCTTCTCCTTATGCTTCTCTGACTGGATGTGCTGCTGCCATTGTTTCTTGCTGTTACTGTTCTTTCCACACAGCCAGCAGTGGTATCCCATCTAACCAACAGAGACAGAGCAGCCCATTAGCTGTGCCCACACTGACCCTCCCCGTGCCAGGGAGTGGAGAGGACGGGATGTTCCCTTCTCTGCCAGAGCATCAAGGATCTCCTCACCCTACATCTCCCTCCCTCTCCTGACACATGAGCATTGGAAACACCTACTGCTGGCAACAGGGGGACAGAACCAGATTCTGTCTCAGCTCACCAGTATCATTCCTTCTTATGCCCTCTCCCCACCCACTGATGAGCCATTACAACCCCACTCTTCCCCCCCTCCCCGACACAATTCTTTTCAGAACGAACAGCCGTGGCTTTGCTATTCCAGGGCTCCAGGAAGAGCAGGAGCCCAGGTGATAAGCGGGGCCCAAGGAAGCAGGAATTCATGTGTGACATGGTTTTTAGCCAAGTGTCTGAAACTATGTTTAACTAACACGGAGCAGCTTTGCTGGCCAGGGCCTATGCCTCACCCACTGTCCCCCCTCCCATCACTGCTACCCTGACTGCCCTCTTCCTAGCTGACAAAAAACACAGGCTCTTTCCCAACAGAGCCTTTCAATCCCCCTGGGATTTCCAGTCAGTGAAGTCTCCTCTCATGAGACTCCTGGCAGGGAAGCACAGGAGAAAGGGGGAGCTGTCGGAAAGAGGAGAAAGATTACCATGATGTCAGCATAGTCGGTGGGCATCTGGATCTGCTTCTCTCCTTCCCGGGACGTGAGCGGCGTCCCCTCTCCTGGTTTTCCAGGGTTGTGTTTCTTTAGCCACATGTCATAGGTCTGCTGCATATCCAGTACTGTGCGAAGGGAATCAGCCAGGTCAGTCACCTACCCATCCACTATGGACACATGCAGAAAAAGGGATCTGGTGTTTTGAGTGTGCAGCCCTTCCCCCTCCTCCCTTCAGTTACAGACACTCCTTCTGAAGCATGGTTACATCCTTAGGTGAGAGGCTGGGAAGAGAAATCGCCTTCCCTTGGTCCAGGGCAGGGAGGCAGATGCGATTTCTGAAACCTCTAGGGTATTGTGCTGGCAGCTTTTATGAATATTAAAGGGGAGAGAAGGAAGGCAGGCAGAGATGGCAATCCTCTGGACTTCACAGCCACAAGGAGCTGCCAGATCAGACCTAAGCCTGGCTCCTCTCACTGGGTAGCTCACTTCCCGCTGAAACAAACAATATGTTTCAAACGTTCAAGTTTTCTAAATAAAATAGATTCAAATTGATACTTTCTGCAGAAACAAAGCATCCAACAGTTGATATTTCTGGAACAAAAAAGTATTTTTTGGCCAAAACCAATTACCAAATTTGTGAATAATTTTGGAACCCCCCAAATGCTTTTTTTTTTTTTTTTTAAAGCCGAACTGCCATTAGCCAAAACATTTGGGCCAGCTCTGCAACTCATGACGCTGGCAGGAAAATGAGGGCAAGGGGAAGATTTTGGCTAAGACCATGAGGCAGGATGGCTACTGGCAACCCACATTTACAAGAACTATTAACAACTAGGCACAGGCTGGCTAGTAAGGGGCATCCTCATTCATGATACAAAGTTCACACACCTCTGTATGATCTTTCACACAACCAGCAGCCTAGTTGTGACAGGCGCAGAGGTCAGGCGTGAGGAGCGCTGACTGAGCTCTGTATGGAGCTAGGGCTAGACGAGCAGAGGAAAGGCAGAGCTGGGGCACGGGCAGGTGAGCATGTATCAGCACCAGGGGCAAGACTCAGCAGAAGGGCGATTGCACGGCTGTGCACCATGGTTGTTTGAACAGTGCTAGCTCACACTCTGAGGGTCTCGTTTTCCAGAGTAATTTCACCCTCCTGCTGCAAAGGCGGAGATGCTCGATGTCTCTGCCCGCTCCTGCCCCAGTTCACCACTCACTTTTATTTTCTTTCATGAAGGTCCACATGTCTCTCTCCTCAGGGCTGTGGGCAAAGGAGCAGTTCCCAACATACTGGCACTTCCTGCCATTTTGTGCATGGATACACAGCTGTCAAGAGAGACAGAAAACAGAAACTTCTGGTTAGAGAGGCAGAAGAGAAAGGGGCAGACCTACCAGCTGAGGGACTGAGCAGGTGATGCCAATCACTCATGTCCCTCCGCCCTGGCTCCCCTAAGACTTTAGGGTAAAACCTCGTATAAACGTACAGGAAGTTTGAGTTCAGTGTCTGTCCTCTCACTAGCTAGCCATCAAGCCCATGGCTGAGCCACTTACTCATGGAGCCGGGGGGGTAGTGGACAGCAACTTATGCTAACCCAGCAGTGGCATCTGAAGGGGACATGCTCCCCCATACCCTCTCGAGGCTTTCAGAGGGAGGCAGAGAGATGCCCAAAGTGAGTTTAGATTCCAAGCAAAAGTCCCCAATGACAAAACTCTACTAGGAACAGCAAAAAGTTCCCCCCTGCATACTTCCAGCCCACCCTCTCTCTTACCCCCTCATAGACAGTGCTACAACAGGGAGCCCAAGGGGCAGCATAGAGTCTCTCCTCTCCATTTAGGGCTGCCCTTATGCACAAGCAAAACAAGCAAGCTGGCAGCTGCCCTGCCTCCTTCACTCCTCACCCGCGGGCCTCGTCTCCTGCTTCAGCACAGGAAATGGCTCTCTCCCAGATCTCCGCTCCTATTCCAGCAGCTGGACTAGAAGTGGAGAAAATAACCCAGGTTTCCGCCCCGTTTCAGCAGCTTGGGCCCTGCAAACTGTCTGATCAGCCCTGACTAAGCTGATGGCTGGAATCCAGATCAGCAGTAACCCCAAACTGTTACCCACCAGGAGAGCCTGACTGTGCCCCATATGAAAGCATATGAGCTAGGCATGGTATGAAGAAGGGAACTGTGCTTCTTGGAACCACTTGCATGCAGAGGTTTCTGACACTACAGCACCCACTTAGGGAAGGTCTACTTTGCAATAAACCACCCCCACTATTGATACACTGACCCCCCTCCTTGCAGCCTCAGCAGAAGGGCCAGGACTGACGGCTTCATTTGAGGCTTAACTATTCTCTCACCTTTCAGAAGCGAGAAACACAGCAGCAGGGCAGGGGAGAAGGGGGGAGGGAAGCTTGCACTCTTGTTGCCCAGGCACTATCTACAGTGGGCACAAACCGAAGGTTCACTCTCCAGCAAGAGCCAAAAACACTAGCCACAGGGATGTGCCAACACTGGAAAAGGAGGAACAGCTCCCCAGACACTCCAGTGACATATGCCCATGGCGCTTGTCAGGTCTTTTCCTCAGAGGCAGCTTACAGACAAACTCACAAAACAAAAGTTATTGCCCCAGAGCACATGGTTTCCCAACCCAGGGCTCCTTCCTTCTGCAGCTCTGCCACTAGGCACTTCCCTCTTTCTCTTAGAGCCCCCCCTCTGTGCCAGACAGGCCTTAACCCTCTCCTGGCCATGCCACCCTATCACAGGTCCATTAATGGAGGCACAGCAAAGACAACGAAGGGCGACTTCTCCTTCCGCCAGACGCTGGATCCCTTTTCCCATAGCACTTGTGCCTCTTTTTGCACTATGGGAATCTTAAAAAATGACAAAACTAAGTCTGGTGAGCAGTGAGTCCACACACACACACACACACACACACCCTGTGACAGCTGTTCCTTCCCCTTGCTTTCCCCCCACAGCTGGAATCACCCATGTGATATCACAGCTATCCCAGCAGCAGCCGCTAAGCTGACCTGTTGCCCCCAGCACACACAACGTTGGCTTTGGGCTGAGTGTGGAAGAGACAAAATATCTGATTGGAAACAGACTTTAAAAAATAAGGTTTCTAGGAAACTTGCTACATCCACTCTAGGAAGAAACTCCAATTCCTCCAGGCAGGCACCCACAATGGCACCATCTTTGACTGTCATAGCAGCACATCAAAATCTTTCATAATGAGGCAACTGATCACAATCCAGAAGCTGAGTGACCCGACTGACTGAGCGGCTGTAGGAGTTTTATAGCTTCTGTCTGTGAGCAGAAGAGGACCTCAGGCATTTCTACATGGGCTCCCTTCTGGCTTTGGATTAAGCAGTGCTAGACAACTCTTCACCGAGGGAAGCGCTGCACTAACCAAGGCAAGGGCATGTCTGGATTTCCTCCTCCTCCCCAAGGTAGAGAGGTGAAGAGAGCTACAGAAAGTACCTACCATCGCATGCTGGGCTGGGACTGGATTTCACAGCTTCTCTCATAGCTCTGGGGTTTTAATGTAGGGATTTTTTTTTAAATATCTGTTTTTAAAATCACCTTTTAAGTGAGCGATAGAAACTGGGGGAAGTGGCTGGATTGGAAGCCTCGGAGACCAGTGTGCTGTTTATCAGCAGAGCAGGTACAGCAAAAACAGGGACAACACAAGTTTCTGCCCCAGCTATGACCCAGACTGGAAAGGCAGGACCTAAGGTGACCGGCTACATCCCACTCCTATCTCCTGAGCCAGACAGTCCTATAGCAGGCGACGGCATTAAGAACAGTGTCAAAAACCTGTCTGTGGGGGTCCTTTCATACCATGCCCCAATGCCTGCTGTTTGAGATGGAACTGACCTCGTTGGGCCTTCAGCTGGTCTCTGCTTTCCACCCAAGTCTGTGTCTGTCTACCCGTTTACAAAGAATCTGCCACTCGGGCATCACAGCACTGGCTCCCTGCTCAGAACATGCACTACCACGCTAGGTGGGGAGAGGATGCTGGAGCTATGGAGGGTGCGGGACTTACATCATATTGCTGTGGGAAGTTGCGGATGGAAGGCAGTGGTCGGACAGACACCCACTTCCTCTTTGCTTTGGACATCACCAGCA